GGTAATTTTTATTTCAGGTACAAGCAAAACTGCCTGAGAAACACTCATGGAATGAACTGATTTAAATGTTATAAATCCCTGAATTTTTCATCTTCTTTTGAATGGAATGCCAAAGGGGATTAAAGACTAAAGACATATCACAAACAAATTTACATTATTAAAATTACTGTAATCAAGAGTCTTTTCTAGCCTTAATCAGGATTAATGAAAAGAAAAAAAAAACCAACCCCAACTTTTCCACTGTGCAATACTAATCAAATTCTCTCAAATAACAGCTAACAAAATAAAAGCAGTTTTGAAAATGAAAAATATTGCTTGGCATATTCTAGTATCCTTCAGAAGTATTTTCACCTATTTAGATCAGAGTAATGATTTCTCTGCTGACAATTCACATGGCAACCAGCGCAGGTAAAATAAATTTCAGTAACGCTGCTCAGTCCAACTTCTTATTTCCAAGAGTTCATGCAGGAAAGACACTTGTTTGAATATATGCTGTAGAAGGGCAGTGTGGAATATTTGGTTTTGTTCTCCTAAACTGTAAGCTAACTAATTCCAGTTGTGGCAAACTGGGCTAGAAACCTGCAGAATATAAAGACTCAACCCTGCGGGATCTGTGCCGCGACTCTCCCTGCTGAGCTGACAATGAGCAGGTTTGGGCTGAAGAACCATGAAAGCTTCTAGGTGAGGTCTTTATCCACCATGCCCTGTGCTTTACACATGCTACGAGGCTAATACAGTAAAGGGATAAAGCTTGCACACATTTTTTTCTAGGCCTCTGGAGCCTCTTAAAGGCAACATTATGTTGGCTTGAGAAACCACAGGCTCCGGAGCATCAAGCCCCAACTTGCTGTCACCAATATCACCAATTAGCAAAACAGCAGCAGGACCTTGTGTTCATTTCACCCTGAAAAATGGGAACTGCTCTTTAAAAATGGAAATTATAGACACGGATATGCAAAGAACAATACCTAAAAGTGATCTGAGAGCAACGAGCAACCACTTTCTAAAGTCTCGGAAACAAGTTTGGCATGCAACAATACTCAGATATTGTGACACTACGGCACAAAATCAGAGATATGCAGCAAAGGACAAGGAAAATTTCATGATTCTCACAGCTTCTTTCCAGGAACTCCGAGTGATTCAGCTTTTTGCTGGTATCTGAAGTAGACAGTTGCCTTCTGGGCCCTCCATCTTCAAACCTGTTGCTTCCCTGTATTTGGTTAAACAGAGTTTTACCTTGCAGGCTCAAGACTGCTGATGTTAAATCTTGGCTGATGCAGTGCAAGCTGACAGCACTTTCCAATTCCCTATTAGTAAGGTTATATATATTAGTTACTAAAACTTTCATTTTGGTTAGTGAGCAGAATTACACAACTTAAAAACGCGACAGCAGAGCAGCATTTCCTCTTTATGACACCTCATGCTGATCAGTCTTGAAGTTCAAAGAAAAACTAAGTGAGGTTAGAAAACAATATATTATCTTTAATTAAAAGTTGGCATTATGTTTTCTTCGAAGTATGAACATACCAGGATAATCAGTACATTAGAACACACGATCTGTATTTCAGTTCCATCTGAGCACACACAATAAATCCTTCTTGGAAAAAAAAAAAAAAAAGCAGGCATCATAACAAGAACATTTGAGCAGAAACAAACAGATCTTCAGCTTTTTCAAAGTCCTCCCTTTATACCTCTGAAACACCAAACGGAATCAGACACTTAAAACCTTACATGGTACACAAAATAAGTTGGTTTTTTTCCTTGTATGCCAGAGGAGGGGAAAACCAAATGACAAGTTACAGGATCTCATCCTCAGGATAACCATGCTCATCTGCAAGGTTAGCACTGATGCTTCACACACACAAATGCAATAATCAGATGCTTGTTTATCCCCTCCCAACAGAATCATCTTTCCAGCAGCATTAGGCATTTGCTCGGTAGCAGTTTTAGCAGCAGCACAGCAGAAACCACCTCGGCACAGAAGTCTTCCCATCAGAGGAAATGTGAAGGGCTCGGTATGGGATCACCTCTAGCTAAGTTAAAATCCTGCAAGTCCATGGTGGAGAGAAGCAACTTACAGCACAGAACTTTCAGACTAACTGTGAACTTTGTTTTAGCTTAATATTGTTTGTTGCAGGAAAAGTTATGACTGATCTTCTTTTTCTTTTCCAATTAAAAATGCTGCACTCTGAGGTCAATTTTAATAATGATTTAGTTGCTGTAGTATTGCTTTGATAAGTTCTATGTTTGTTTTTAATACCTGGCCCTTTAACAGCACTTCGACACTTTGTATCCTATCAAACTTGCTGTTTTTTCCTGTCAAAATTTTCTTTAATGCAGGTTTTATCTTCTGTATATGAAATTCCATATTTAGCCTCCTGAGATTGTTTAATTCCAAATGGGCTCTCAAAGAGCCTTCAGAATACTTCAAGGCTCTCAGAAGGTGGATTTTAGGATTCTAGGTAGATACAGTAATATGAGCAAGTTTTTACTGATGTAAATTAATGGAAGAGATTTAAACAATCACTGTACTCAAAACTGTCATTCCAAAAATAGGTTGTCTCCAAGACTATGAAGATGTTTTAGCCTCTGAAATAAGTAAGACATTACTTTTTTTGGCCATAATTATATGAGAAAGAAGCAATTATAAATTCCATTATTATTAGTGTTAAATCCTTAACCAAACCAAACTCAAATTAAATATTAAGCTGTTAAATATTTTATTACCCAACTATTTCAGTTTCGGTGAAAAATGAACAGTTAAACTAATCTCCATTTAAATATTCTTAACTGCTCAATCTTCTCTAATTTTAACAAGAGGTAACATACATCTACTGAAAAAAAATCAGGATTCTCTGTTAAACTGGGTTGTGATGGGTTTTTTTCCCCCCCCAAATATTTTCTAGCAACGACTTAGTCTGCAAATTTTAAATGACCTTTGCTGATCTGCAGTTTCCAGTCATTTTTGCTTCAGCAGTGGTTTTGATCAGCTTTCACTTCATCAGATGCCTTTTCAGAGTAGTTTCAAATTTTTCTATTATGGAAAAAGGTAAAAGAGATAAACTATTCTGTTAAAAAACCCAATAAAAAAAAAAACCAAAGAAAAAAAGAGGAAAAAGAAGAAATGAAGATATAAAAATAGAAAAGAGCAGGAACCAGTTTTAAACATATGTCTTTATGAATGAGGCTTAATCACACACTTCGTTTTCCAAACACAAAAAGTCTTTTGGAAATGTATTAATTAAACCTAAGTGCCACGGACAAGCAGCTTTAGAGGGATGGCAGTCCTTTTCAAATTAGCATAACACTAACGACAGGCATGGAAATTGGTTTAATAACCCTAAATAGTTACACCCCACTCCTAACACAAATGGCCACAGACAGCTCGAGCCCCTGAGGCTGCGACTGTACCAGTTTACGCAGTTGCTCTGACATTGGGTGGGTATTTCCAATCTGAACAGAAAGCACTGAATGCACCTCAATTAGTAATATTATTATTATTATCATTAGCTAATGACTAGTGAAGCATACAAGGCACCAAAGCATTAAACATCATCAACCAGAAAACCAAAGTAAACCAACACAAGCGACACTAAGAACTCAGCCAGCGAGGGACTCACTTTGTAACTTGTACTAACACAGTCAACATTGGCAAGAGATTATTAGTTTAGCCATGATATGAAGTGGCCCAAGCCCCACACGTAGGTCTAGGGTCAAGCTGTAGATATAACAGAAAACCAAACCAAAGGGATAAGCAGAGTCTTTAAGTGATTTCCTTCCCTGCCATGTTTTCCATGGATATCCTTGGAGCTCAGCTCGCTGCTACACTAACCCCTGTTTAACAGCACTCTCAGGGCACAGCATTCCCCAGCAAGTGTCAAAATGCACAAGCTAAATCTCTACCTACTTAACTCTAAATATCAGACATAAGCAACACTATTTTTGTGTGCGTGCTTATGATTCATGAGAAACTGGAGAAAAAAAAATCCCTGCTGATAAAGAACTGAATATCCACAAGCTTTTCCCAAGTATTCCGATCATTCCCCTAACTTCACACTGCTGCTCCTGCCGCATCCGTCTCCACTTTACCTGACTTCAGCAGGGGTTTTGCTTTGACTGCTGGTTTTAGAGACATGTAGGACAGAGAAAGTGGTTATTCATGTCTTTTATTTATTATAAATACATATAAATATGTTAAGTGACCTTTTGCTTTCTTTATCATGATGAGCAAGGACTTTGGAAAATCATCTGGAAAACTTAACCAAGCTGAGAAACAGGCAAACAGCAAGCATTAGCATACAATCACAGGTTCCTCTCAGTCCAAGAACGGGTTAATTTCTTTAAGAGCGGGAAAAAAAAAAAAAAAAAGAGCATCTTTGAAGCATCAATTGTTTTATCAAGAGCACTGAACTTCCCCCCTCCCATGAGCTGACCAAACGATTTTCATTTGGATTTGCGGGTGCAGTCCAACCCCAGCTGGCTACATAGGAGCCCTCCCTGCCCATGGTTCTGAAACATTGCATAGTTTGCAGTTGGATTTTGCTTCCCCTCCCTCCTTTCAATCTATTTTTAATACAGGTTGATCATGCCAAAACAAACTCACTGAGGTTTCCACTTCCAGACCTCTCTCCCTCCCTGTTCTTCTATAGTTTTGTTTCAAAACTGCTCAAAAACTTTTGTAGCTCAGAGCAAGCGGAAAAGCAACATTACACTCACAGTCCACTGACGGGCTGGGAAGGAAATAACTCTACGGATGAAGTTGCATGTGGGGGGTAAACTAAACAAAGTAGAAAGTGGGTGTTTTGGGGATCCACGTGAACTGCCAAATATTTCCAGATGGGGAGGGGGAATATTTAAGAGAAGCAAACAAAAAGAAAACCCCAGACTTAACTGATGGAAGGAAGCCAGGGCTGATGGTAGCGGAAAGAAAAAAAACCAAAACCAAACCAAAAACCAACCCAACTAAAGAAAATAAAGGAAAAGCCCGAAGAAGGCAGAAGTCAAGGCTTGTCGTTACAGTGTTTGCAGAGGGCGGAGGCGGCTCCTGTGAAGGCAGTGCATTTCTCGGGGCAGCCCGGCACGGCCGCGCCGCCGAAGGGATAGACGGGCGACTGTCCGAAGGGGTTGAGGGTGGCGGGCAGAGGGGCGCTCAGCGCCTGGCCCCCCCTGGTCCGGGAACCCCCCCGGCCGCCGCATCTCCTCCAGGCCAGGGCCTTGCATGAGGATGTAGTTCTTGGCCAGGAGCAGAGTGGCGATTTTGGAGAGTTTCCGCACCGAGGGGCTGTGCGCGTAGGGGATGACTGAGCGCAGCCCGTCCAGGGCATCGTTCAGGTCGTGCATCCTCCGCCGCTCCCGCGCGTTGATGCTGAGGCGCAGCGAGCGCTGCTCCTTGGGCTTCTTGCCCAGGGCTCCCCCTGCATGAGGATGTAGTTCTTGGCCAGGAGCAGAGTGGCGATTTTGGAGAGTTTCCGCACCGAGGGGCTGTGCGCGTAGGGGATGACTGAGCGCAGCCCGTCCAGGGCATCGTTCAGGTCGTGCATCCTCCGCCGCTCCCGCGCGTTGATGCTGAGGCGCAGCGAGCGCTGCTCCTTGGGCTTCTTGCCCAGGGCTCCCCCTTTCAGCTTGCCCTCTCGCTCG